GCATACATACATACATGCATGCATGCCTGCATGCATGCATGCATACATGTATGCATGCATACATACATACATACATACATACATACATACATATACATACATACATAAATACATGCATGCATGCATACATGCATACATGTATGTATGCATACATACATACATACATACATACAATACATGCATGCATGCATACATACCTGCATACATGTCTACATACATACATACATACATGCATACATGTATACATACATACATGCATGCATGCATACATACATGCATACATGTATGTATGCATGCATGCATACATGCATACATGTATGTATGCATGCATGCATACATGCATACATGTATGTATGCATGCATGCATACATGCATACATGTATGTATGCATGCATGCATACATGCATACATGTATGTATACATACATACATGCATACATACACACATACATACATACATACATACATACCATACATGCATACATACTTACCTACCTACATGCATACATGGCATACATACATACATACATACATACATACATGCATTACATGGCATACATACATACATGCATACATGGCATACATGCATACATGCATACATACATACATGGCATACTACATACATACATACATGCATACATACATGCATACATGGCATACATACATACATGCATGCATGCATGCATACATGGCATACATACATACATGCATGCATGCCTGCATGCATGCATGCATACATGTATGCATGCATACATACATACTACATACATACATACATACATACATACATACATACCTAAATACATGCATGCATGCATACATGCATACATGTATGTATGCATACATACATACATACATACATAAATACATGCATGCATGCATACATACATGCATACATGTATGTATGCATGCATACATACATACATACATACATACATACATACATGCATGCATGCATACATACATGCATACATGTATGTATGCATGCATGCATACATGCATACATGTATGTATGCATGCATGCATACATGCATACATGTATGTATGCATGCATGCATACATGCATACATACATACATACATACATACATACATACATACATACATACATACATACATACATACATACATACATACATCATGCATACTAACTATAGCCAGGCGACACAGACCAGCAGGGGCGTTTTACAGCGAAAACTGTTATGAAATCAGAACTCGGGTCACGCGCGGTTGTCCACCGCTGCCGGTGTCCGTAACCACATCGCAAGAAATTAGAAAAATAACACAGCATATCCACGGAGTGAATGATGATGACTGGGGCGAAGCGTCCGTCAGCCCGTCCGTGCTTCCGTGCCGTCCGTTCGTTCTTGCTTCCGTCCGTCCGCGCAACCGTCTGTCCGTCCAGGAGTCCGTCTGTCCTGTTCGTGCGTCCATCCGTCCGCGCGTCCGTCCACCTGTCTGCCCGTCCGTGCGTCCATCTAGTGAACACTCCAAGCGCCGCCATGTCGCATCCCCTGTGGCAAATATCCTCTCCGCGCGTCCGTCCATCCGGCTGTAGTCTGCTAGTCTGTCTGTCCGTCCATCAGTGCGCCCATCCGGGCGTCCATCTAGTGAACACTCCAAGTACCGCCCTCTCCTATCTCGAATTCCTTGTGGCACATACCCGCTCTAGAACGGGTATGTGCCACTGGTGGCTGCATATACCAACGGAGGATGGACAGACCTACACCCTATATAAGCAGCTTCGTCCCTAAAAAACCTAACACCAATGACATAATGGCGCTCGAGCCTGTTCCCGCTGGGTGCCAGCCTAGTATTCTACCACTGAGCCACGCCGGTGCTTGGGACAGGTTGGCAAACTTGCCTTAGTCAGGTTTGATGTCAGAAAAGCAGTCGTGTTAATACGACATATAAAGTGTTTTAAAACAGCGAAAGAACAACCATGCAGTCGTCGTACAATGCGAGTAGCTTAGCGAGTGGGTCGTCCAATGCTCCAACCCATTACAAGAGCTTCTTCTTGTTCACCTATTAATTATGGCGCATACCCACTTCAGGCATACTTCCTCATTGTCCTCAGCCACTACATGGTGTTTAGCGGATACCACGCTTCTCACAAAAATGATAAAAAAATAGCATATAGAATGCCGGCCAACTACACCAATTTTTTTTATTATTAATGCCGTAGGGGGTATCAAGCAAGTGTGCTTGCAGCAGTTACCCAATGAGTTACCATATGACTTACCCAGTGGTACCAAATCTGAATTTCTATAAGCACGGGTCTGCTCAGGCACCTTTGCCACTGTGCGCGTTCTGTGATGAACTTGAAAAAATAGACCATTTCTTTTTGACTTGCAGGCGGTTTGACACATTAAGAAAAACCCTTTTAGAAATACCTTTACGTGGTATTGGTATGGACATATCTGTGCCTGTCGTTTCATCTTTAGAGCTTCCATTTCTGGGTTCTCTATTGCGACAATATGCGCGGCCGTCCAGGACTATATTGATGAAACTGATAGGTTGACTAATTGATCTGCTTCATTATCCTAACGTGTCATCAAAATTATATACGTATTAAAATCAGATTATTGATCTATTCTAAGATTAAGTTCGTTTCCTTAATTAAATAATTGTTTGCATTAGATCAAGCGCCACACTTTCCGATGTCATCAGTAATCTTTCTATTAATATTATCTTCATTATTCTAAATCTGAACCACAATTTTTAAACCCACCCGATTCTTGGACGATTCCCTATAGTGGGTATGTGCCACGGACAATAGGTCAACAAGAACAAGTGTTTAGAAAATGCTCTGAAAGCCCGCTCCTCTAGCTTTCACTGTGACTGTGCTGTGCCTTCCAAGCGGGCCTGGCTTTTTTTTTTACGTCTGGTTAGATGATTGATTGTGCGGCAGAATGCGTTGGACACCGCTAATATACAAATACGGTGAATCAGTAACTATCGAACTCCGGGAGTTCGTTAAAGAGTTGGCTATCCATTGATGCCGGAACGCACTTATAAAGTGAAACAGAAATTAGCCATTCCTTGAAAAAAGGCAGGGTAAAAGGTTCCTAACGACAGCTTGGCGATTGTATATACATTAAGTAGAACAAAAAAAAATCGTAGCTTACGCCTGTGGCTTTCTTTGTCGCTACGCATAGAGCACCGGGCATAACTGCCTAAACCAAGCACGAAGTACTGAAAAAAAAAAAAATGGGCCGATATATCACACATGAATGCGTGCTTCGGTGAAATGGAAAACTGGCGATTAGGAACCGGTATAGCGTCCAGGAAAGCGTGTATAATCTCGAAATGCGGGGTTTCTGGCGGAGGAAGTTGTTGAGAGTGAGCGGTATGTGGGTATATATACACCAGAGAGGCAACTTGATTTATAATGTTAATGAGACTGTTACTCGGAGCGAGTTTTGTCATGCCGCGCAGCGGGGAGGCACGGAACGCCCCGCTACGATCGTCTGGTCATCATCAAACAGGGCTAGGTCTCGCGGTCGTGACCGCTTTTAAAGGGGGGACTGGTGTGGCACAAAGCGGTTATCGCCGTCACGGTGGGGATCACCCCCTAAAAGGGAGGTTAAAATGAAAGAGGGAGCGGTGATGTTTTAGGGAGGGAATGCGCGCGTGAGTATAGTTCACGACAGGTTTGAGTGCATTTTTTTTTACAGCTTGATGAACTGCCGTAAGACAACATTGGACAGGATAACGCACGTATATGTGGGTGCAACCACGGAAGACTCGAGTTTTCAAGCGCGTATGCCCCCCTTCTTTGGACGTCTCCTGCCAGCGTTTCTTGGTTTACATTTACTCCGCCGATGGCGTGACCAGCGGGAACGATATTAGGAGGAATCGAATACGGATGACGGGTACAAGAGAGTGAGTGAGAGAGAGAGAAAGAAAGAGAGAGAGCAGACATTGACAAAGGGGCATAGGGGAGCGTATAGATTGCTCAGTGCGTTGAGCAGATTGAGGCATTAGTTCGCCTATCAACGGCGGCTATACATAAGAAGCATCTGTTTGCTGTCCCGAACACGACTCGGCCGTCGGCTCAGCGTCTGTCATATACCTCCTTTTTCACCCGGGCAGTTTAGGGATATCCCGATCCCATTTTCCCTCTATAGCGCGGAGAACAAAGCAATGATAACAGGAGCGCCTGTTTCCATGTATACCTTTTCCCGGACCCCGAGCTCTCCTGGTGTTTTCGTGGATGGCTGAGCGCTGTTTTGGTTTTCGTGGCCCGCCTGATCCCGACCGCACGCTTCCCGATGGGGAGAGGTAAGGTGAAGGGGAAGAGGGAGGGGGACGAATCTCTTCCCGCCGCATTCGGAGCCGGGAAAGCTACCCAGGTGTGCCTGCCAGTCTGCGGCGCCGGCACTGACGTGGCCGCACGAGATTTCGTTCAGCCGTCTGTGCCCTCCTTTGCTTCTGCTTGTTTTTCCTGGCTTTCTCGTCGGGCGGGAATTGCTTCTGCGAGCTTTACCGACGTCATCACGTCGTGTTTGTTCTGGGAATCGGTATTCTTCATATTTATAAGTGAAACGCTCCCACCTGTATCAGTAGACGTATACACGTTCGCTATACCCCCCCCCCCCACACACACACACACGCGCGGGCATTTGCACACGAAAGCGCGAGGCTTATAAAAAAAAAGTGATACCTGGAAAAGTGTTCGAATTGGGAAGTACTTCATCACTTTTAGACACTCCTGAATTGGTTTACAACTTTACGTGGCTTAAATTGTGAAATTGCGAGCTCCATACCTCCAGTATTATCACAAGGCAATGCGCTGTGATGGGCTCCGTATTACTCCTAATATTCCGGGCTTTCATTGATCTTCACCTGAATCTAGATATGCCGGAGTTTTTTTGCATTGTACTGCTAGGACCGGCCGTCGTGAGCCACAAGTCGAGCTCACGCCTTCGTACTTAGCAGCCTCGAAAGCCACAGCCTCATAATTGACGCGGGTCTCCTCCTTGACCTTGACCCCACTCACCGGGTAAGAGGGCCTCCTGGAGCGAGATGGCGCTGCGATCGGAAGGCAGCTGCGAGTTCCACAGCAGGAACCTCTGGAGTTCCTCGCGGTCCTCCGAGTGCACCAGCTCGTACACGCTCTGGTGGCAGATGTCTGACTGTCGGAACAGGCACGAACACACAGACACGGTCATGTGGTGACGCAAGCATGCCGGGACGGCAATGCTCCGTAAGGGCAACAAGTGTTCTATGAGTATAGCTTTCCTTGTAGATATATACAGTCGAGTGACAAAGTGGCTGAGACAGCCCCTCCCCGCCACGGTGATCTAGTGGCTAAGGTACTCGGATGCTCGCGGGATCAAATCCCGGCCGCGGCGGTAGCATTTTCGATGGAGGCGAAAATGTTTGAGGTCCATGTGGTTATGTTTAGGTGCACGTTAAAGAACCCCAACGTGGTCGAAATTTCCGGATCCCGCCGCTACGGCATCTCTCTTAATCATATGGTGGTCTTGGGACGTTAAACCATATTATTATTATTATTATTATTATTATTATTATTATTATTATTATTATTATTATTGTTGTTGTTGTTGTTGTTGTTGTTGTTGTTGTTGTTGTTGTTGTGAGATAACCCGTATCTGAATGCCAGGTGCCATGCATATTAAGATTAAAGTCAGTTAGGGTGCTTGATAGATCTGCGCGCGCATCGTAATTCGTAGACGATAATTGAAAGTTAGAAAAGAGGGTGAGAGTAATTACATTCGTCTGTTAGGTTCAGCCACTGCAGCTATGAGTCGATATTCATCAGGCACACACACACACAAACGCAAGTATGGTGTGGCTCGATCTGCAGTTGATTTCGAGTCTGGTTGAGGTATATATAGTTACGCTGCGAAAACATTGCATAGATGACTTCTTCTGACAGCGGCGACTTCTCACACAAAAATTAAAAAAAGAAAAGGAGAAAAAGATTGAAAAGCAATGCACATGTCATCAGACAAATCGAAGGTCGGGCATAAGCTATCTCATTGTAATATCACAAATTACAAAAGAATAGTGCAGCATCTAAGCTGCTTACGGTCGAAAACATTTTCCAGCGCAAACAGGGAAACAGCTTCATCACTGGTTCTGAGTTTCTATTACACTAAGTGGGCCCTTATGACGGCAGAAATGATCAAAAGTCGACGGCTTCACATTCTGAAATTCAAACAAAAAAAGTTATTTTCATATCTCGGCTAACATCATTTTTTGTTCTTTGAATAGAACAAGTGATGTTGCGGGAGGGTACTGTGTGCCGATGGAGGCTCATGATTCCTCTTGGTGTACTTTTTATTTAGTACCTATTATTTAGTCGCAAATTAATTTTTTTGGTTTACTCACACTAATTTAAAGATATCTCTCGCCGTTCCCTGTTGTTTATACGGGATGAATCACGTGACAAAGCGTTTATTGCTCCGGTATCGTGCCACCCTCCTTTCAAAATATAAATGAAGCAAACCATACATCATCGCTAACGCACACCTGTAAGAATGATGTCGAACAATAATAATAAAAACTTACAATACTGAAAGCAACGAGGATAAGACTTAGTAAAAAAGTTGCTGTAGGATGAGCATGTCAACCACGTGTGTTTAGTTGTTTCGCGTTTTGTTGGTCTCTTATACCGCAATAACTGTGTTCTTTCAACTAATATCAAATCGTTGCTTTTCAAATCATTGTTTATGCCTCAAGTTAATTATTGCCAACTTGTATGAGGCAGTGGCACGCCCACATACTTAAAGAAGCTCTACGTCATACAAAATAAAGCTTTACGCATCATTTGTATAACTTAGCCAGAGATCACCCTTCTGCACAGCTCTTCCAAGCTGCCTGTATCCCTACCGTTTTCAACATGTATAACTTACGCCTTGTTCTTAGATATAAAAATGAAATAAACAAAAATATTCCATTGCTTACAAATTCGGCAGAATTAGCTTAATATTCTTCTTCGTATCCCTTACGGCTCATGAGAAAGTACAAAACAAGAACACCGCGCACAAATTACAGGCCCCAGATGCTAAGAACAACCTTTCCCTCCGTGTTAAACCTGTTATCGCAAAATGATTTTGACATTTATTTTTGCAAGTCTGCACTTCTTGCTTTTTTGGTGAGTTGATGTCTAAAATGCCAGCTTTAAACTTATCTTTGGTGTTTTTTTATTGAGTGTAGAATAATGTATGCTTTCTGTGTGTTTATACTTATGTACACCACTTTCTGTGTACCATCACTGCATGCTGAACTATAATCGGCTGGGAAGCCTAGTCAAGCTCGCAAAAGCTTTTTCTCCCCATGCACTCTACTTCCTGAAGGGAAAAACAAATATTGATTGATTGATTGATTGATTGATTGATTGGTTGATTGATAATGCTGCCTGCTTACCTATAGAGAAGGCCTATAACTTAGTAACGGTGTTTAACATTATTCATACGGTGGACATTCCCACGATATTCTGTATATTTTCTTCGTGCGCCTTTCGCTATGCACGTCGCGAGAACTGAAGCGGCTCGTGGCAGAAGGGGTTCCAGCATCTCCTATTAAACACGAGCTCATACGCGAACAGGTGTCGTGTTCCATTAGCCTGACATCACCTCCGACATCCGTTATGAGCAACGCACGCAGACGACACTACACGCCACCGCTGCTTGATTGCTGTACGTTTCCGCTGATGCGAGACGCGGCTAGTGGACAGTGGGCGAGCAGAAAGCGAAACTCGGGGAGCGAACGGAGTGGGAAAAGGGGGCGTTGGGACGCGACGTGGGGGAGGTCTATTATAGAAAGAAAAAAAACGGGGGGGGGGAGGGTTGCGTTAATTGTGTCCGCGGACAGGACCTAATTGATGTCGCCCCGTGATGAACGGCCCACGGTTCGGCGAGCAGCAGCCGCCATCGACGCAACGCCCACCAATACTCTTTTGTTGTACCTCTCCCGCCCGCACTCAACTGAACGACCGACCAGCCAACGAACGAGCGGGGCACGCGCGCGAGCGTTTGGCAGCGCCAACGATGCCATCGTCCATTCAACGACCGGCAACGGCGGCAGCGTCGGGACAACGCAGCGGCAGCCTGTCGGCCACCGTCGCCGGCGCTACCGCTGCTGCCGCGTGCGTCGTTGGTGGGGGACCGTCGAATGACCGCCACCGGCCGCCAGGTGGCTGCGCACGCGTTATGTCCTCGCCTTTGGGGCGTTTCTTTATTTTCTTTTTCGTCGTCGTTCTTTCATCTCTCCGGATCGATTTCTTTCATCACCTTTCTCGTAATGTCGCTCTGTGGCTTTCAGCAGTTCTTTCACGAATATCAGCGTTTCGCTCTTATCTGTTCAGGCGTCGTCCGCAGTCGCGGAATCGAGGTGCGCGTTAAACAATTTTACGGCACTCTAACTGGGGTATAACAACGTTGACCAGTGACATTATTTACTTTTTGTTGTTGTTTGTATTGTGTAGAATATATTCTAGGGTTCACTTCATACACCACATTCGCTCGCGCACTACAAACACTGGCTGTAACTTAATACTGGTTGCAATATGGTTAAGGTTTTGTCGTACTTTTTAATGTCGGCTAATATGGACTTGTATTATCCATCCTTTGTTATGTATAACAGCAATAATGTATTCATTTAATCTCAACCACGTGATTAAGTTGTCTACTCGGCTTCATCTGTTTTCTTAAACAGCGTTTAGCTGAAGAACCAGCGTGTGAATCACGGCAAACTGATTGATTGATAGGTGTGTGGGGTTTCACGTCCCACAGCCATCATATGAATATGAAAGACGCGTAGAGGAGGGCTCCGGAAATTTCGACCACCTGGGGTTCGTTAACATGAGCCAAAATCTGAGCACACGGACCTACAGCATTTTCACCTCCATCGAAAATGCAGCCCCCGCAGCTGGGCTCTGACTCGTGGCCAGCGGGTCAGCAGCCGAGTACCTTAGCCACTAGACCACCGCGGCGGGTCAATCGCGACAAACTGCGCTAACTTCTGCGAACGAATTGATCAGCACTGATACGGGCCCATAATAAAAATAAAGCGGATATTCATTATAAATAATTTGAAGCGTTATATGTCTCGCTTGTCACGCTTTGTCCCCGTATGTGTGCGCTGTAATTATTCTAAGTGCACTGTAAATATCCTAAGATGCAATACAAATTAGCCCACCAAGCCATCCTCGTGAGACAATACAATAAATAATAATCTGCTTCGCAGGAATAAACTATTTTGTATAACTCAAACAAAGCGGCATAAAGTTGCTGTTCCAACGCGATTGCGTGCTGCTAGTGGGCGTTAGTGAACTGAGCGCAGAGTATTGATAAGTTACTCACCTGATGAAAGCCCAGGTATGTTTCGACCGTATGAGATGCGTAGAAAACTTCTCCGTCGCAGGTGAGTATGAGCAGGAAGCCATTGAGCGCCTGCGAAAGGCCACAAGCATGCCACATTTCAGAATCACAACAGTGTGCAGTACATGGTGTGATAATAAGGATTGCAATCAAGACAAGGCGGCGCTCATTAACTGTTTAGGAATTTCAACGCTTTTGAAGGACGTCCTCACTCTGTTCGAACGTATTGATTTACACTCGAAGAAAAGATCGAGTAAAAAGGGCGTGTGTCTTTTCTGTCCCACAACAATAATCATCTATCTTCCGTTCCTTTCCTTGCACTATCCCTGCGCGCCAGACCTTTTCGGGTCACGAACGACATCCGTGTTATCAGAGTGACACAGCTTTCTTGATTGGAAAGTGGCCAGCGCCGAGTTTTCAGGAAAGGAAGCGCAAACAAGCAGCATGATGGTGATTGCTGTGGGATAAAAAGACACCCTTCTTGCTCCATTTTCGTTGAGAGTGTACAATTACATAAGCGATGCTGTGGTCTGACACAAGCATATATCCAAGACCTTCACACTATCGTGGTACATCTGCGTTACAACAGGCAAGGGCAATGAGTACGTGGGCACGAAATACGATCTGAAAGACCGGGAAATAATTTAGGTTATCAATTTAACATTGATTACAGATGTAAGAAAAGGAAACTAAATTTCAGTTTGGTGCGTTGATAGAATATTTTATATATTCTATCACGCGCAACAGCATCAGCGTTTACTTTGGCCCCTTATACAGCACAAAAAAGACTTAAAAACCCCCTTTTTATTAAGTCTTTAACTATTTAGGGTATTTAATCGGTATTTAATTGATAGTTATCGATTAGCATGGAGCGGTACTTAATCGATAATTACTTGACCCTGGCTCAAGGTCGCCAACAATCATGACATCATTGCATGGTGGTGGAGCAGATAATAACGACACCTGGCACCCTCCCATCGCATACTTTAAAAAAAATATTTATATCTCAACACGCTTCTGTGGCTATAATTCTGATATTACTGACATTGCAGCTCCGTTATTAGCCAATGCGTCTGAACTACATATCCCTCTTCATCATTCACCCGCTGCCTGCGAACATACGTGAAATGGTCCGTGACTATCCCCTTTGTTCATATCGGAATAAGTTGGCCTGGCATATTACTCGGAATAATATTAAAGGGTAGTAACAACAAATGATGATTCCACTACCCAATGTTGTGGGTGCGATTAATGGAAGCCACGTCGAATTTAGAAGAACGGCTGAGCGCTGTCTTCGCGTCGCAATGTTTTCGAATACTCGGGGTGGGTGTGACGGCAAGCTTGCTTTTCTGTAGAAAGAGTCTTTTTGCGGTGAAGCCAAACCTTTAATTTTTTTTTGCGAGTTTAGATGTTCTTTTGATTCTGCACTGCCGTAGTCGTACTGCAAGTAGCCTAGGATAAGTTATTTCTCGTTCGCCACGGTGGAACAGTGTCTTCGATGCTCGGCCGCTGACCCAAAGGTTTGGGGTTCGATCCCGGCCACGCCGGCCGCTTTTCGATGGGGGCGAAGTGGTAGAGGCCTGTGTGATGTGCGATATGTCGGTGTACGTTAAGGAACATCAGATGGTCAATACTTCCGAAGTACTCCACTGCGGGGTGTGTCGTAATCATATCGTGGTTTTGGACCGTAAAACCACAGATACTTTTAAGTTTTTCTTAGGCGTGTTCGTGTTTGCTATACGCGATCTGGAATAGCGCAGAAACTAGAAAGTGAACAAAAAAATTTATAGCGCTTCGTTCTATTTCTTTCCTCTCGCTCTTCTGACCGATTTCTTTCGTTTTAGAGTTTTCGCATCACCAGATCACGTTTGGCAAGCAACTTAGGTTGCACAGAGAGCTCAGTGGCATACTTGTCGGTCTTCAAACTCTACCATCGAGCACAACGAACCGAGCAATGCGGACAGCACGCACCGCCATTCATTAGAAGCGAAGGTGAACACTCCGTTTCTCGACGAAGGCGGTTTCTAGCCTTTATTACGCTTGATTCTTAATTGAGCTAATCGTATTCACCAAAGCGCGACAGGGGCCAAGGAGCTGGCTATTTACTTCAACACTTTTAATGCGACTGCGCTAAATAGCTCACTTCGCACAAAATCCGGCGTCAGTGTCAGCGTCGTTGGTTGTGAGCAAAAGCGAAAAATTCATCTTGTGCGCGACCGAAAAATCGAGAGGTCGTTTGCGATGCACGCAGGGTGTTCTACCACACAGCCACAACTTTGCTTGTGAATACACTGAAAATAGCTTTTTCTGCTTGGAATTGCAGTGAAAATAGCTTCCTCTGTATGGAATTGGAGTGAAATAACTTCCATACTTAACAAACACCTGCGACGTGTAAACATGCTTCACAACACGTGAAACACTGCAGCAATAATGCGTGGTACAAGCGTACAATGCCATCGGGTCTCAGAACACATGCTTTGTTTTGTCGCCTGAAAATCTTATTTCATAATGTGATTATCATAATAACTTCATGGTCTAAAGCCCGTCACCCACTACAAAAGGCAGACACGCTACTGCGTATATTCCTTTGAGGTCACGTAGTAAGTGTGTAGCAATTTGGGAAAATATTTTATACAGTAAGTGTTCGAAGTACACACTAGGGACCACATGCGCATGCATAGGCAGTGGCTTACAGGGACAGGATATCGCTATCGCGTTCCACTCTTAAAGGCGAAGCTTTTTCTCCTGCTTCAAAACGCCGTTTGAGCAGCAGGGAACTACTATACAGCGATAATTTCCGCGCTAGTTCACGGGAATACCGACGGAATTTAATAAGTTTGTTATGTGTTTAATGACGTCGTTCATTTGATAGCAGGAAATGGGAGAAGCTTTAACGACATTCCTAAGTGGGGCAAAAGTTACCAGGCCGGTATCCAATGTATATCCCTACAGCAGCGTGGCCCGAAAACGTCTGACCCCCACCCATACCTGTTCGTACTTTGCCCGTAAACCTGGTCGCTTCATGTCCTCTTCGGCGAACTCAGCCGCAGAACCGCACATCAGACGATAACAAAAGGCGGATTAGGCGACTGGTAATGTAAACTATACAGCGACTCACTGAAGGCATTTTTTATGAAAACCAAAGCATTCACATCGCAAAGAGTTATGTCCTTGTGTCCTGTGTACTTGAGAAGTGCGATAAACTAATGAATATCCCGTATGGTGATGATCACTTTATTTTGGTCCAGAGAAGACGCAAGGGAGACCCCTCGCCACCCTGCTGGTCTCACGTATACGGACCCCCAAGCTCGTTTCCTGACCAAATGAAAAACAAGAACTAAGCACTCTGAATATGGCACTCATATTCTCTGCTATACTGAATCCAAGCTAAAACAAGGTCTCCTAGACGACTATACAGCGAGTCTTTGAGAAAAGCTGCAAATCCCTGGTTGCGACAATAGCTGATTTGCCGTAATTTATCGGGTACATCCCGTTAGACTGGAGAGCATGCACTGATAACTTTCATATAACAAGCAAATGTGCCAACAATATGCCAACGCTACTTGACACTAGAAATCATGGTAGGTGTCTGGTACTCTTCATAGATGGAATCTTAAGCACCCGGTTTCTCGTTTGGGTACCATGCATCAATTTAGTTTCTGTCAGAAATCCTGGCAGTTTTTTTTAATGTACGTGGCATCAGCAAAGTTCAGAGGACATATTTGCTACTCAAACAAGCAGGACTCCAAAGCTGCATCAAGCAATCAGGTTACCTTGCTTCTTTCATACCATACTTAGGTATATTTATCGTGGAGCCTCTATCTGGCATATATCCGTCCCTAAAATATTTTAGTACCGATGCAAGTACTTCAATACCGGCAAGCATCATTATTTTTTTAAATTGAAGAGTTCATTCTTTCTTGTTATTCATATCGTGAAAATGATCTTGAAATTAGTGAGCGACGCATTTGAATTTTCAAAGCTCTGGTCTAAGCTTAAAAAGACAAGGAAGGCTCACTTTCGCAGAGAAAAAACAAAAGTCATTGCACCATGCGTGTTAGAAGTGCGTGTCAGTTTTGGTTGGTGGGTAACAACTTTGTTGAAAATTGTGACGTGCTTGCCCTAACCGGGCCTAAGTCTATGACGTGATTTAAAATCGAATCTATAAGGAATGTTAAAAAAAAGCAACGCCTGGGAAGCCCGTATACTTAGCCTATGATCCGCTTATTTTTTCTGAACTACAATGATTTCGATCTATATCTGCGCCTTCAAGTTAACCTACTGCCTGCTTGATCATACTACAATAGAGGAGGCACTGATACTACTTAGTAAAGAGAAAGAAGCCTTGTTTTTTTCTAGAGCCCCTGGGTGTCTTCTTTTTTCATTTGCTTTTTTCAAAATTCCCTGACTTTTCCAGGTTTTCCATTATGTTTTGAAGCAAATTCCATGACCCTTACGTCTGCTGCTTGGAAAACTCTGTGCACTAGAAACATACCCTCGAGTGATAAAAAAACATCAGGCGCTCGTATAAAATAAATAAATAAATGTACCACAAGTACTCAGAATGTCATGAGCACATGCGGTAAACATGAATAAATATGTATATTTGGCCGAAATAAAACCTCCGAGTGGCAGAGTAAGCAAGTTGGCTGTTTAATGTTTGGTAGAACCAGAAAGCAAATGCACGAGTTAAAATTAACTGCAGCTAAACGTGTAAAGGAGCCTACGACAGTACTACAATGCAGCTAAAGGTGCTTGAAAACGTATACATATAGAATTGGCACCATCTCATGGCCTCTGAATAAAAGGAGGACACCGGAGTCCGGTCGATTCCGCCAATGTAATATATTCTAGTTCCCTGTAATGGTTACAGCCCAGGCCATTTAGGATGTGGATCGGACTAGATTGACCTGTATTTTCTGACTTAACTATTTAGCATGTGGATTGGATCTGAAGCGGCATGTATTGCTGTATTTACTATCGATTTGCATCCCCGCCCAAATTGCACACCTTTTGTACATACCTTTCAGGGAAAAACAAAACCACTACTACTCACGTATTCTGTGCACTTG